CTCCGGGTGCCTCGAGGTGGCTCTGTTGGTTAAGAGTCCCACTCTTGGTTTCAGCCCAGGTCAATGATCTCATGGTTCATGAGTTCAGGCCCAGCATCAGGCTCCATTGTGACAATGCAAAGCCTGCTTGGGATTCTCATTCATATTCTCTCTCTCTCTCTCTGCACCCCACCCCCCACTCACGCGGTCACTCTCTAAGCTTTAAAAAAAAAAATGCTCAATATCACCGATCACTAGGGAAATGCCAACAAAAACCATGACATACCACTTCAGACCTACCCACTACAAGAACTATAATCAAAAAGACAGACAATAACAAGTGTTGGCAAGGAGGTGAAGAAACGAATCCTCCTATGTTGCTGGTGGGAATGCAAAATACTGCAGCTAATTTGGAAAACAGTTTGACAGTTCCTCAAAAAGTTAAAAGTTTTCACATGACCCAAGAAAAGTGAAAACAAATGTTCATAGCAACATAATTCATAATAGGCAAAATGGGCAAACAACTCAAATGCCCATCAACTGACAAACGATAAACACAGTATGTCCACACAATGCAATATTATTTAGCCATAAAAAAGAAAAGTGAGGGTGGCTCAGTCAGTTGAGCATCTGACCTCGGCTCAGGTCATGATCTCATAGTTCACGAGTTTGAGCCCCACATCGGGCTCTGTGCTGACTGCTCAGAGCCTGGAGCCTGCTTCAGATTCTGTCTCTCCCTCTCTCTCTGCCTCTGCCCTGCTCATGCTCATGCTCTGTCTCAAATATAAATAAACATTAAAAACAATTAAATAAGTGCTGATACAAGCTACAACATGAATGAATCTTGAAAACATGCTAAGAAGCCAGACGCAAAAGGCTATGTATTATATGATTACATTTATATTTAATGTCCAGAATCGGCAAATCCACAGAAACAGATAGACTGGGGGATGCCAATGGCTGAGGCACAGGACAAATGGAAAATGACTGCTAATGGGTATGGATGTTCTTTTTCGGGTATTGAAGTGTTCTGGAATTAGTGATGTTTGCACAATGTAGTGAATAAACTAAATTCATTGAACTGTATACTTTAAAAGAATGAATTTTATGGTACATAAATTATATGTCAATTGAAAACAAAATTCAGGGTATGAGCCACTGTACTTGGGATACTTCCTGCAGACAAGAGACAATCAATAAAATGAGCTAATAATTCACTCTGGAATAATCCCAAAAGCAATGTGCAACTGTAAGGAATAGTAAAAAGATTTTTTAAATATTCACAAAGAGTAAAAGATAATTTGGAGGTTAGTGATGGTAAATTTTTAACTTGAAACTACAAAAACAACAGCTTTGTTTATTCACATCTATCCAATGTCCAGATTCCATATAGCATATGGGTAGACATAAAAGAATTAAGAATCAACAGAAGGGCACAGTGGCTCGGTTGGTTGAGTGTCCGACTTCGGTTGGGGTCATGATCTCACAGATCCTGAGTTTGAGCCCCGCGTCGGCTCTGTGCTGACAGCTCAGAGCCTGCCTCGGATTCTGTGTCTCCCTCTCTCTGCCCCTCCCCCGCTCATGCTCTGTCTCTGTCTCTCTCTCTGAGATAAAAAAAAAACAACATTAAAAATTAAAAAAAAAAAAAGAGAGAGAAGTTCTGAGGCATATCAAAACAAATCAAACCCCTTTGCTGAGCTTCACAGCCAGTTTGCAAACCAGGAAAGAAAATCAATCTTGTTATTTCACGTACACCTTTATTTGCCACAAAAAAACACTTTTCAACTGTTTCCAAATACCAAATGCACCCTCTAAGGATGAAAATTTGTCAATAGTAAGGATATTCAAAGCATACACACACCACTGGTTTTAGGCAATTCCAAAAATAGGTTTTGTGTGATGAAATAAAGTATAGCCTCCAAATGAGTTTATGCAGAAGACACTGTTTTGGATAACAATATCATCCCTGTTAAGGTGATTTAAAAAACAATATAGTTGTTTTATAGTCATTGGTGAGTTCCACAATGGAATCCTCAAATAAAGGAAACATTCCTCCTCTGAGCTAAGGACAGAAATGTATTATAAACCCCAAGGTGCCTAACAAAGAGACCCCACTTTAACCTGCAGTAGAAAACCTTACACCCTACCTTTGCAAAACTATCACCTATACATCCGCTACATGAATCACAGACTGTAGTTTAAATAGACTTAAACAGTTTAAATTCATTCTCATCCTTTGCCATTTTTACTTGTTTCTCATGAAAGAAATGCCCGTCACATCAAAATGAAGCAAAAATTTGCCACCTTCTTCATAAAGCCTTCCTATATCATCTCAAGAGATTTCTTTCACTTCTAAACACTCATAGAACTTTCTTGCGCAACAATATGGTATATTTTGCCTTGTACTATTATTGAATACACCAGATCTTCTCTATGTACTAAAAGCTCCTGAAGGTCAGGGTAGCTTACCCAATACTTTTGTCTACCCAGTGTCAGGTACAAATTTAAATCAAGTAAGTACTCACCTAACTGCCTTTCATTCCTAAAAACAGCATTAATACAAGCAGCTACAGAATTAGGTGGGTGCTTGAAAGTGGCAAGTCCCCACACATGACGAATGCTTAATTCTCTGAAAGAAATTAGAAGTCATCCAGTGTAGCCCCATAAGGCTAAAAAATGTTTTTTAAATGCCATTATTCAGACACTTCCTAGAACTAACTGCTCCAGCTACAAGCACATTTGAGGGAATCAGAACAATTTGAAATGACTGTGTAAGTTAAAAAAATTTACTATGCTATCCTTTTTCAGCCAAGCCAGAGCTAACCTGAAATCAACAAAACTTTCCCTACACTGGGAAGAGCTTTTTGAGAATACAGCAAGGATGAGGAGCAGCCAAGCAATAGTTTACAACACACCAAGCAGCAGAGAGAACCTCAATCTTCCTGGAATATGGACTACCAAAGTCCCAGAGGACATCTCAATAATCACCTGGTTACCAAATACCCATTTTGATCATAATCACTGTCTGAAACTGCTACTAATTCCAATACAAGTGAAACCTAATAATAGAAACAAAACACCTCCACAATCCCAATGCATCCCACCAAACAGCCCCCCAAAATAGAAGAATTTGATTTTGGAAATAAATGAGAATTCATTTTTAACCCAAAGACTGCTACCAATTAAATAACATTTAGAAACCAAATGACCCTAAAGCACTAAGACAATCAGTCAACAGAATCACATAGAAGGTTAACTGTTCAGAACCAATCTCATTAAAATAAACGAGTAAACGAGGAATTATTACATTTGCTAGTGACAAAGTAGTTGCCTTTTGCACTAAGAATCACTGCTGGCCTTTTTAAGTATAGAAAGTTAACACTACAATTGATTTATTTAGAACGCTTCTCTTAAAGAAATTACATATAATAAAAAAGAAAATATGAATCCCAATTAATTGATTTTAGCTGGGAGACTATCAACTGTGTATTACTGCTCTGCACTCTGGACTTTAAATACCTCCTGAACTTTAATCCAAGTGGAAATTTGGATTTAAAACTATGCTTTAAGAAACAGGATGACCAGATTAAAATCCTCCTTCAAAAAATGAATCAAAATTTGATATTCAATTCAGATATTTACCAGACTTTATTAGTCATTGAAGGAAAAAAAAAAAAAAAGATGCTGTCAAGCAGCAGTAAGTAACCACAAACACTAGCAAGGACGGATAAAAAGGGAGCCTGAGGCAGAAGGCAAGGATTCAAAGCAAACAGAATTAGAATAAGATAAACAACTCATTAAAACCATCTTAACTAACAGTAACTTTTAAAACAGTAATCTTTTAAAACCTAAAAAGCCCCACTGAAAAAAAAATCATGAAAAAAGTGAAACAAAAACATGAAAAAGTCTTCAAAATGATTTCAGTATATTCACAATTCTGAAAATTCATTAATTTCACGCTTCTCAAAAGCCACATGCCTTTCATATGATGGTTACAACTAATAAGTAATTCATAAAGTGCTTAATCTGACGTAAAATTTTAGCAAACGTATGACAGGTCTGAAAAAACACAAGCAGAGACAAAATAGAATAAATGATAAATGACAACCAAAAGGCTTTCTAGAGGGCAGAGGTAGGCTTGGATTGGTAGAAAGAAAATTTTAAAATATATCCACAAGTCAAATTACACCAAAAAATTGACTCATGCCTTTATTACTTACACAGGCACGTTTTAAGATGTACTTTTAACCTGTGGACAACCAAAGTGGTATCAGATACCTTAAAGCATTACCTATGTTAATTTTGATGTTACAGTCTAAATCCTTAACAAAATTCACATGTATCTTTATAATGAAACACTGCAGAGATGGAAGGGCTTACATTCCCTAGGTAAAGGTTACCTTACGTTTCACTTAAAGTTTCAGTTTTGCTTTTTAATCTATTACAGAAAACATCTCTTATGGGACACTGTAAAGGACATACCCTCCTGTCAAGCCAGAAAGCTCAAACACAAAGACACTGAGCTAACCAAGTGCTGTAATTCTTCCAAACTGAGCCTCTCCACACCCCCTCTACCCTTCCCCCCAACAGATATGTCTATTAAATCAGTGTCTGTTCTCCCCCTCGCACAACAAAGAGAACTTCTCACCGCATGAAATTGCCGCTGAATGGACACCAGAAAGCAGGATTTGCATAATTCCTTCCAACGAAACCCTGTCGGGAAGGAGGGGATGAGGGGCCCGAGCGAACGGACAAAATCTCCTAGATTCTGCTGTGGAAGACCTGGTTCCCAAGAATATTCCCCACGGGGGGAGAGGGGGAGGAAGGGGCTGGAATTCTGCGCCTCCCCGAGAACTGGGCCTGGGGGACGGAAAAGCACGAGAGAGCATTTCCCCACACAGCAGCAGCACAGAAGCAAAGATGGGGAAATAACAATGCTGGAGGACAGGAGAGTCAGACACAAGGATGGACTGGGGCTAGGGGGCGGCGGGCGGAGCGGAGACACCACACGGGCCACTTACTTTTTGGAGGGGGGTTAAATATATGAGTTAAGCCCTTATGGTCCCGCCGGCCGCCGCACAGAGGGAAACGGGACCTTGGGAGAGAAAAACAGACAAAACACACAGTGTGAGAGGCGCAGCTCGGCCGCCCGGCCCCTCCCGGGGCGACCCCGTCCACACTCCCTCCTGCCCGTGGGGGAAAAAGCCACCCGAGGCCCGGGAGGCAGGGGGAGGGGGGGGTGCGGCGAGGCTCTCGGCGAGGCGGCGGCTCCGGTAAATCCCCTAAGGGGACAAGAGCGACCCCCGCTCCAGCTTCCCGGTCGGACCCGGTCCCACCCCCTTCCTCCCCGCCGCGCACACACCGAACACAAATACACACACACCGACCCGAACGTCGAGGATTAACTCCCCGGCCGCCGCCGCCACCGCCGCCCGCAGAGGAAGTGCAGCCGCTGCCCCCCGCGGCCATGACACCCTACTTGGCTCGGTCAGGCGGACCCGGGGCCTGTGACAGCTCCGGCTCCCTCCGCCCCCATCTCCACCTCACGCCTCGCACACGCCCGAGCGCCGGGCGCCCGCCCGCCCGCCGCCGCGCGTGCACGCGGGCAGTGGGGCGCGCGCCGCCGTGCGTGGGGGAGGGGAAGCGCAGGAGCGGTAAGGCGCCGGCCAGAGCGGAGAAGGGGGCTGAGCCAGGGCCCAGCACGCCCCCGCCCCCCCCCCCC